AAGCTCTCACAAGCAGGGTCCTCTATACCTTTTGTATGGCATTGTATTGTAATCCCCCCCTTATATGTTGTAAAGCACTATGGGAACTGTTGGTGCTAAAATACTGTCGAATAAATATAATAAAAAATACAAAAATGCTATTCAGATCATTTGTAACTAGAAGGGAAGGTAGATCTAGGAAATCCAATTTACTACTTGTCATAGACCAAGATTATATAGCTATAGTATATCAGGGACACCTTGGACTACAAGAACAACATAGACCAAGATTGCCTGGCTCATACCTATGAGTGTAGAGGGTCCAGCAGTAAAATGATTAGAGCAAGGGTGGCCAAACCTCTCACCACCAATTCCCTTTAGGCTGGGTTCACACCTGAGCGTTTTTTTTAATTTCACTGGCGGTATGGTTTTTTTCCCCCTTTATTTTCTCTATTTTTAAAAAAGAAAAATGTATTATTTTTTTAGTTTCACTTTTAAACTTCCCGTCGGCTCCGCCCCCTGTGACGCGGCTGCTCGCAAGGGACGGAACCCGGAAGTCGGCAGCCGCCGAAGTCACAGCGGGGATCGCGGACAATGGCAACGCACGCCAAAACGCCCCAAAGAAGCTACTGTACTTTGGGTGTAAGGCGTTTGGCAGCGCGTCCCTACGCGCTGTAAAACGCCCAGGTGGGAATCATGCCCATAGGCAATCATTGGTTTTCACATGTTGAACGTTTTACAGCGCGTAGGAATGCGCTGTAAAACGCCCAGGTGTGAACCAGGCCTTACTGACAGATCTACTTCACTATGGCTGACCTTACATATCTATAAGTAGCTGGCTAAACAGTCCAGAAGTGCTGGGTGCAGGCATAGCCCTAAATAGATCATGAAGATTGCACTTAGAGATTGCTGCTCATTTGATTTTAAAGCCATGTGAAGCTGGATGCCAACAAAGTCAATAATAACATGAATTAGGCAAGTGTGCTTAATCAGAGTCATGTGGCTTTAAAAGACAAAAAAAGTCTTAGAAGGAAGCTGTGAATGTGGCATTCATTCTCTCTTTGGGATCCTGCTTGATATGTGAATTAAATAATGTGTCAACCTTTTTACTTTGTTGCCTGCCTCTAAGTAGTTGTCTTGATTATGCCCTAACCTGGGATTCTCTTTTTTAATGATGTTTGCTGCTTGGTACAAAAGCTGTGCAATCATTGTGTATGTAGTATGCAATTACAGTGCGGGCAACTCTTTGCTCACAATTTCCTTTATCAAACAATCTCTAGTAATAACAGGCTCTGTTGAGCGGCAATATTGTCTTAAAAAAATCCTTAAAGAGAATATAAATAGTGTTTTATAGTATATATTTCCTTAAATTATTAAGCTCAATACTAACAAATGCATTAATTTCTAGCCAGTTAAAAAATAAATTATGCAAGGTATTTCATATTTTACAATTTTAGCCAGCAGGTGGCAAGCTCTAAGAAAACCCGCAGCCTTTAACAGCCTAAAAAGCAGTTAGTGTTGTAAAATAGATCTGAAAAGGAAAAGAGATCATTTTAAACAGGCTGCTAAATGACTCAAAAGAGGGCAAAGCCCCTCATCCCCTTCTACTAGAGACTGGACTGTCTGGATTAATCAATTATACACAGGCTGCCAAAGAGCACGCAGGCAGAGCTAGGTTTTCCTATTATCATAGAAGCATCCTGTATTAAATATGTATCTGTAAAATAAAGATTGTACATAAATTAAAATATATAAAAAAAAAACAATTTCTAAACTCCAAAACACGAAAAAGACAATGTTTAACATCTAACTAAAGCCTTACAGCTTTTTATCTCTTAATTGTCCTGGGCCCTGCATGATCGGAGTCTTTTTTTTTTCTTCGATAAAGCCTGAAAATAGATTTCTTTCTTAGTGAAAATGCTGCTGCCTGTCCTCCCACTTTAGTGCCCTAAGCTGTCATAGCTGAGTAAAAGCCACACTCCATATCCCAAGTGTCCTCATACAGACCTGTATCACAGAGAGCAAAGGGGTCAGTCTGATCAGGTCTGTAACCCTGTGCTGATTACTGGGAGCACTGGGTCTAACCCTGGTGCCTATAGGACTGTATAGTCATATTGCCAGGTCTATTCACAAAAGGGTGAAGAGTTTGGAGAAGGCAGGAGAAGTGAACAATCTAGGACAACATAGCTGATTTGGAAAAATTCTTCAATTCAGCTCACTTTCCAGTTCAGCTATGTTGTCCTAGATTGTTCACTTCTCCTGCCTTCCCCAAACTCTTCACCCTTTTGGACAGGGACACCCCTGTCCAAAAAAACGGTACAATTATACTTTAAGGCATCAAGAGAAAAAGAGAGAAGTCCCCTTTTTGAAACTTCCTTGATAAAACGTATTCAGTGCTAAACGCACTCTCAAGTTACAACTTCAGTTTGTTTAAACTGGTCCTTGCTCTATATCTACTCAAAAAAAACAGGAGGTTTAGTAGATCCACACGGATTCTTGAATTCCGTTAAAGATATGGTTTCTGCCGTGTTACAAGTTTGCTCGTTGCACCTATGGATACTTGACAGTGGACCTCCTCTACCTTTTTTGATGAGCGGACAAAAGCTATTGTGAGTGTACTCTACTTACCTTTCATTATAACAAAAAGTGAATTCTTTTTCAAATACGATTTTGCTATTATCATTTGCGGGACTGAAATCTCTCTAACCTGAAAGATACTCTTTCTCTCCGGAAAACTCATATCCCCAAAAAGCAAATTCATTACAGGGGTGCACCGATCACTTTATTGTTCTGCCTAGATGCAATTTCACTTAGCCGGGTGCTTTCCTATGTAAATGTAAATGTTTGTTTGTGTTTTGATACATGTGTTCTATGAATTTTAAAAAGACAAAGTTAGTTTAATAGATTACATTTTATCTGACAATATTGCATATTTGGATGCATGGCGGGATCCCCTTTTGGGTTTTTTTGGGGTGTCTTTCTTTCCTTTTGTGAATAACCCTGTTAGACACTCAACACAACTGCCGTGACAGGAAATTAAGAGTACCAATATGAAAATGGGGTTTGTTATTACAATCTCGGTCTGCACATCTATTTCTGTAATTTTAATTGGGTGTTAGGGTAACACTAACAAAAAAAATGATTTGCCTTTAAGGTCCAGTTATACCTACTGCAGGAAAAGCTAGGCAGATGTATGGTACGTCCAGGCTGTGGTTTGGTGAGAAAGGGTTAAAGGAAACTTATGACAACTGCCAACCATTGCACATTAACTTTAAATTACATGTGCCACTGACAGCCCCTGGGGTAGAACCAGATCTTGGTACACTTTATTCTTAAGTATTTTGCAATCTGGGCTCTAAGTGCTCTAAAAGTAAAGTGCCTTAGAAAATTGCAGGCTTCTCAACTCTTAATAAAAATAGTGAGACTTCAGAAATGACTTTGAAGTGTGATAGATTAGGTAAATATTGAGCATTTAAAGATAATAGTTGGAGAAAATTATTTGTTTGTTCTGCATGGTAATTATTACTATATTATAGTTCTTGCACTATACCCCCTGCTGTCTGCAGCACAGTACATTACCTAAAAACACAATATTGATTTTAGGATGATTTTGGCAGAAGCAAACCCAAATTGAGGTATTCTAAGGGGAAATATATAAAATGATAATCAACATTAGGTTGATAACATATCTGGTGAATGGATGCAAATATGACTGTAATGACAATCTAGAGACACTCTAACTTGTACATTTAAAATTGCAATATGTAAGTTTGTTAAAGAAAACTATTATATTTCTTTGCCTTAAAAATGTTATTTAGGGCAGCGCTCTCTTCTACACTCAACTTAAAACAGTGTTTTGGTTTTTTTTGGAAAGCTTTAGGGCTCATGTACACAGGCTTGTGTTTGCTTTACATAGTTGGTGAGGCTGAATAAAGACACGTCCATCAGGTTCGAACTATATAATGTGGGTGCATGTCGTGTGTATATAATGCTAGGAATTTAAATAACACTGTGTGTTTTGTTAACTAAGGAACTCATCCAAGTGTTTTTTGAAGCAGCTTATGTGTCCCGCTGATACAGCTATCTGTGAAAGTGAAGTCCACATTTTTACTACTCTTAAAGTAAAATATTCCTTACACAGTTTAAGATTATACCTCATCCCCTTTAACTTCTTGTTGTGCGCATCTTCCTCAAGGTGCTTGGTTTAAGTGGTTAATTCCCAGTACTGCAGTCCCCATTGATGAGTTTGTAAACTGCGATCATGTCGCCTCTTAAGGCCCCGTTCACAGCCGCGCAGACATGGACGATCCCATATATTGCTATGGGGACCATTCATGCGACCATGCAAGTCTGGGTGATCCAAACCGCTCCCCGCCCAAATTGCTCTCTGATCCTTTTTTGCCGCACTGATCAGTGCGGTTTCCATACTGCTTTCAATGGAACTGCGCTGTTCAGCACGGTTTTGGTTGTTTTTAATTGCATTTCAGCGCTCAAACGCAATTAAAAACTCCCAAAACAGCCCTTTTAAAATCAGTGTGGAAACCGCGCTGAGCCGCAACCCCCCTGTTGTGAATGGGGCATTAGTGTCTCTTCTCTATGGAGAACAATCCTAATTTTGGTAGGCGTTCTTGATAACTTGGACCCTCCATCCCCCTTATTAATTAGGTTGCCCTTATCTAAACGTTTTCTAGCTCTTGGCCATCCTGCCTAAGGATTGGTGACAAGCCATTCCCGTGTCCCCAAATAAGTCAATGTGCATGCAAAAGAAACCTGAAGCAGCTTTATAAAACTCCACGAGAAAGTGATCAAGATACATATAAAGATATATATTAGATACATAATGTATTTGACTTTCGTCTAAATCTGATGCCCATTTCCTAAAACTGGAAAATATTAAATGCTGCAAGCTGGCAAATTCCGCTATCCCTCCAATCTTTCCATTAAACAAAAAATGACTATTTTTGTTATTACTATTATGAATTCAGCTTTAAAACTATAGGTAAAAAGTTGCTAAGACTTACAGATTTCTGAAAATCAGTTCTTGATGGAAATTCTGTTTCTAACACATCCTTCAGGTTTTGTAGCAAACCAACTTCTGGATCCCTATAACCAAAATAAACAAGTCCACTTTGTAGAAGAAAAATGTAATACAATACAGGAAGTACCATATGACATCTATTTGGGGTAACCAGAATACAATATGATGACTCTGAGGTCAGGCAATTGTAGAATTTCTCGGCATGCAGAGTTTCAGAGAAGGAGGAATGAAAGGTATTTGCTGCATACTACATTAGTTTTAAGGAATGTTGCGGGTTTTTTTTTTTAATAAAGCCTAAAAATCTTCAAAAAATTAATTATGTTGGCAATTTGCCCAATCTGCACACAAAACTCATCTCACTAAGTTTTAATTCACAATTCCGAATTCCAAGAGGGTAAATACTTAATCTGAATGAGATTCACTTTCCCTAATTTAACCTTATATTTTTGCATCTACTGCTTTTACCCCTGGGGTAGTATATTTCATGGAAGTGGGGGACATTTTGTATTAAAAGAAAAAAGTATTACAGACTACACTTTTCTTTTATGCTTACCATAAATGTATGTTGCTGTTAAGTTTTTCTTTCAAAGGTTGTACCACTGAAAATAAAGGCAAATACTGTTATGATGAAAAAAAACCACTAAATGTACTTTAAAAAAATACTAATTCAATATTTATCAACTCATTAGATATTAAATTAGATCTAAAGTCAGAACTTTTCTTTCGTTTGGATATAGTATAGAAGGGTTAGATTTCCTATCAGGTTTGCTTTGCTCTATGTTTCCCCACTGGGGAGATTCACTCTATTCTGTTCTGCTTATTCTGGTGACCATTGCCACCAAGACAGAAGGTGATTGGAGATCCAAAAGGTTTTTGGTTGTCACCAGAACAGGAGGATGGGGGAAAACTTCTAAAGGGGATACCTGTATCGGTGACACGTATCTAAGAGGGGATTTCCCTGCACTTTGAAGAGATTTCTTCTCAGTTTCTGTTGTGTCCAGGACAATACATTAGGGGGGAAAACAGACAGGGTGTTGTAACCTTATATTACTCTATTCAAAACTGAAAACGTTTTGGCAATATGCAATTATAGAAGTAATGTTTAAATATTATCACACCGTGGTCAGCTCCAAGAAAGTAGCATTCAGGAAGCATTGTGGGATGTTTTGGATCCACGTCAATGGTAATGGACACATTGTTGCCTGTAAATAAAAGATTGGTACAGTTGAAGAGAGACTCCTGCTTAGGCTTTGTTTTAATCCCTCAAAAATTCATACAACTATGTCTTTATAATCCATATGGTAAGCTGTCAGGAGAAAATATGCTAGATGCCATTGCTAAATTGGTTTTTAAAGGGACACTACACTCAGCAGTTCAGGAGAAATCTTAAATATTATTTATAGGGGTGCGGAAATTAACGATCAATCCGTCGATTAATCGTTAATTTCTTTGATCGATGAAAATTATTTTCATCGATCAAAGTTACTCACCTCTCCGCCGGCTTCCGGGTCTTCCGTCGGAGATCCGGTGACGTCACGGACATCGACGTCACCGGACTCCTCCCCCCTTCCCCGAGTGGCTCTGTCGGCTAACGAAGGGAAGGGGGGAGGAGTCGGGTGATGTAGTTGTCCGTGATGGGTAACGAAGGGAAGGAGGGAGGAGTCCGGTGACATCACGGGCATAGACTTCCCTTCGTTACCTGACGGAATCACTTGGGCTGTTGAGTCTCCTCCTCACTCTTGGGCCGGTGAGTCATCAGATGTTTGTACAAGGCAGACAAATAATATGTATCATGTAAAACAGTAAAATGATCAATGATCTACTACCCTGTTAGAAATCTGCTACCCTGGTGAGACCCCCTCAGAGCCCTGGTGAGACCCCCTCAGAGCTCTGGTGAGACCCCATGGAGCCCTGGTTAAACCAGGGCTCTGTGGGATCTCACCAGAGCTCTGAGGGGTCCTCATCAGGGTAGCAGGGCTCTGTGGGGTCTAACCAGCCTTGTTAGACCCTCAGAGCTCTGGTGAGATCCCACAGAGCCCTGGCAAGATCCCACAGAGCCCTGGCAAGATCCCACAGAGCCCTGGCAAGACCCCACAGAGCCCTGCTACCCTGATGAGGACCCCTCAGAGCTCTGGTGAGACCCCCCTCTGTATGTGCATTATATTTAATCGAAATTAGTCGATTAATTGATTAAATTTTTTTTTCGATTAATCGATTAATTTTTTTTCGATTAATCGAACAGGAAAATTTTAATCATTACCAGCCCTAATTCTTTCAAGTATTTTAACTATTAACAAAAACATAGCTTTTTTGTGTATTATTATTATGCAGCGTTTAAAGAGCACAAAGTTTGCACAGAGCTTTACAATATAAGGAAGACATTACAGTCACAATACAAATCAAGATGAGATGGTAAGGAGGGCCTTGCCCATGAGAACTTACAATCTAAAAGGGAAGTGATACATAAGGAAGTAGCTGTGAGGGGATGAATTGTTTGAGAATGTGATTGCTGAGTGGTTAGGCTGAGAAGGCATAGGCTTCCCTGCAGAGAGGAGTCTTTAGGGATCGCCTAAAGGCAGACAGGGTAGGAGTTCCAAAGGATGGGAGAGACTCTAGCAAAATCCTGGAGGCAAGCATGGATGGAGTTGATGAGGGAGCTAGAGAGCAGGAGGTCTTGGGAGGAGTGGAGGAGATATAGCTAGGGGAAGAATTGTGGAATGGCTTTGTGTGTGGTTAATATTTTAAATCCTATCCTTTTGGTGATTGGAAGCCAGTGGAGGGATTGACAGAGGGGAGTTACAGACACTGAATAGTTGGTTAGGTGGATGAGTCTAGCAACAGCATTCATGATAGACTGAATGGGGATTAGCCTGTGTAGAGGTAGGCCAATAATGAGGGAGCTGCAATAGTCGAGAGATGACAAGTGAGTGGATGAGAAGCTTTATGATTTAATTGGTGAGGAAAGGGGGTATTTTGGAGCTGGAGATGTCTTTTTTTCCCCATTAAATTAAATTAACTTTTTCTATTCTGCTCGGTACCTCAGAGGTACCGAGCAGAATAGATGAGCCGAATGAGAATAGGGGCGAACAGCAGCGAGTGAGCTGCCGGAGCTTCGGCTCGGCCGATCCAGATGTTGGATCGGCTGAGTTGAAGTCCCTCTGCAAATATGTCAAGCCTCAAAATTGTGTGTGCCGTGAAACAATGACAAAATGTCCATATGCAACGCTTTAAAACCTTTACAGCTCTTCAATTTAGTGTTAACAGTGAATGATGTCCCTAGAATTATTGCTCGTAATACAGCGTGCACGGAAATACCTACTTTGTGGCACAATTGTCATTTTAATGCTGTGCATACCCAAAGCACATTTGCATTTGTATGCTTGTGTACATGGGGGGATTTTTTAAAATAATTTTGGCAGGTTTAATTTGTTTTGATAAACATTTTTTTTTACATAACATTATTGCTATCACAATAGGGGGTTGATAAGCCTCCTATGTAATAGCATAGTGCAGAGGACAGATTCTCTTTAAGGAGACATCAGGGGTTTATTAAACCCCTAATGTCACCTATGCATTCTGTTGAAGTTGATCAAGCATGGACTGTGCTCCATAAGCTTCTTTCCCGACCATAGTAACCAGGGTTTGACAGCGCTAAAGAGCGGAGTGCTTTCAGGTTCATACTACCCAGCATAGATCAGCAAATGGATTTTCCTTGATCTTCATCCACTCTGTATCTTGACCCCCACCTTGGAGGTCCTGAGCACTGAGGAGGGACACGCAAGCTTGGGACACATGGTAGGTTGGGGGAGTAGGGTGTCAAATTAAAGTACATGTAGAAGTGATTGAGCAGAGTTCAGTTCTACAAGAAAGCCATCAGCTGGGAAGAAAAGGTAAACAAACTCCTGGCTGCCATATGCATAATAGATACATCTGCGGCATTAAAATGGTTAAAGGACTGGTGTTACCTTGGGCTCTGACTTAGCGATCTTCACTGTACAGCCCTACAGCCTTTCCTCCGAAAATCGCAGTTTCATATTGCCCATGCATGCCGTGAACCTATTCATTCCTATGGGAAAATAATAATGCATGAGTATGGTTTTCCCGTAGGAATGAATGGCACTGCAGTGTGAAAGTGTAGTACAAATTGGCCATTTTCAGAGGAAAGGTTATGCAGCTCTGAGTAGGGTTGCAACGTGATGTCCGGTGAATCTGGGCTAACATCAGATGTGCAGCACTCAGGGGAAAGGGGCAACTAAATTGAAGAAAAAAAAATACAGTTGTGCTTTAAAAAGGCTGAATAATTATATATATGCAGTGGGATGCATTGGACAAAGGGGTGGCTATCTGCAGTGAATAATGACAGAATAATGCGATGGTGAGCAGAAAACACATTCTGTATAGGTAGAAAAGATAACAGCACCTCACCTATGGCTATCCTTCTCATAGTGGCACTTCTTGAGGGCTTTTCTGGTTCTAGCACCCAGGTCTTCTGGTCAATTTCATCCAAAGTATCCCAAAACAATTTTAATGCCTCCAATGCTGACAAAGCTTGGTTGACGATATCTTGTAAATTGCTCTGATTAAACATAAGAAAGGATACAGTTTATAAACATTGAAGTGCACTTTCACTCAACACAAAAAAAACATTGTAGCCTAAATGCTAATTTAGATATGGTCATGGAGTAGCCTTTGACGTGAACATTAAAAGGAGACTAACCCTAGATTAAACAATTTTTGTTTTCAGTTTAGGATATAGTAGGTTTTATAGTATAGGTTTTGCTGCTTCCCGAGTTCCTGTTCGGGGGATTTTACCTTCATGTGACTAAACATGTCTGCTTCAGGACCGGTTCACACCACAAAGAGTGCATTCCAGAGCATTTGGCCTCTGGGAAGAAACCCGGACGGCTCCCTGCGTTCAGGGGCGGGCAGGGGATTGTGTCAATGGCACAGTGTGATCGCGTGGCACATTAGTGCCTACGTTCCTGTGCAGTGCGATCTCCAAAAATAGTGCACGCAGCATTTTTGCAGACAGCACTGGACCGGAACGCAAGCACTAATGTGCCACACGTTTGGGTTCCAGCAATCGCACTGAGAGCGGGGGATGTGGCTGCGGTGCCATTAACTTCAATGCACTCCACGCCCCCTCCCGCAGGGAGCCGTTGTTCCATCAAAGTTTGTGACTACGTTGGAATGTGCAACCGGTGACGTGGTCACACATTCCAACATAATCCCACCCAGTTTTGCGGCGGTGGAATGATGACCGCCCATTAGGTCAAGCATTCCAACGCTTTGTCGGCTGTTCCAGGGCAGATCGGCTCACTGCGCATGTGCAGGGGAACCGATCATCTGCCTGGAACAGCTGAGCAATAGGTCCTGTTGTTTCTAAATGACAAATATATTACATTTTAAGGCCCCACACTGTATTTTTCTATAGCAGAAACAGAAAAAATATTTATTTATTCATTTTTGTTATATAAATACCTCAATCACTAACTGCACTATACAGAACATACAGTCAGTCATTCACTTTACTTTCTACCCTTGATGAGTTTACAGTGTCCAAGGCTAAACAAATCCTAAGCCTATTTAACCTCCTAGAATGTTTTGGGTTATCTAATGCTACTTTTTAGCAAGTGCAACATGGATTACTTCATATGCTGGATAACCCGTATGAAAACAAACAAACAACTGAGCATCATCTGTGCAGCAGTAGTAGCTTGGATCTGTATTTTGCATGGCGACAGAATGTGTGCTTCAAATATCATTGCAGATGAGATTTTCTATGGCACCTAATGTGGCAGGTAGTAGGAGTACGGAAGATGACAGTCCAACTGGCACACAACACTGAGTTCACCATGCAACCCATCATAACATGATTATGAAGTACCATTAGAAAAAAGGGTAACAAAACAACAGTTTAACTTAAGCAGCCTTAAAAAAAACATCTGTTTAGGTGCAGGAAGACCTTAATGTGACTGATGTACACCCCATGCAATTGCATTCAGGAAAAGCTTGCTGGCTTCTATTATTCCAATAAAGCATTATTACCAGAGAACACATTCATTTTAATAGTAAAGGCATCCTTTATAGATAAAAGTGCACAAACCACAAATCCTTTCCTGCAGCTGGGTGCTTGGTCTGCCCTGTGTAGAATATGTCAGTTTTCCATCTTAGTACTGTCTCTAATTAATTTGCTTGACTTTCAACTACCCATTCTGGCTGCTGACCTCTAGCTTTCATTTCTCTTTTCTTTTGGTTCTCTCAGTATGCCCTTTAATTCAAGTTACCCAAGTCCTTGTGCAAGAGTCCTCAGACAGCTTTGTCTGCAACCCCCATACTGCTGGTCATTACGCTACATTTTCTAATGTAAATTGTAGTCTACTAACAAAACTGAAAGGAAATATTTTTTTTAAAATGTGCACCGGGACTTGTGTGTTATCTGTAGCCTTGAAGAAGACCTCTTCTTTCCCAATATAAAAATAAGTGATATAACCACATTGATTTACTAATAGAGTGTGAAAGACTGTGATCATTAACGCAAACCTAAACTAAGAACAGACTTTAGATCTGTCTGTCCATTACACTGTCTTTGATCATAAAACCTAAAAAGCCTATGCAGATACTTACATGCGATCCAAAGTACTGTTCTTCCTTGTCCAACAGACACAAAACCGATGTTTAACCTCCGGTCCAGCATAAGGTGTTTCTGCAGCTAAAATGCAGGTAATATGGCATTGCTTCAGCTGCCCATCAACAAACAGGAAAAACAAGCACTGCAAAAAGGTCCCGTTATAGAGATTGCTAGCATGAAAACTCGATTTTTCTTAACCAAGAGATTATAAGGGACTCCGATAAAGACTGTAACTGGTATTTATGACATAAATTTCAATGGTGGAAATACGTATGATTATTGCTTTTGGTTGTAAAGAAGAAATTACCTTTAGAGCAATAGAAGATGGGCACGTCTAGTGCTGCATCAAAACTGCTGTTGACTTCCATGTCATAACATAAGAGATCCACTAGCATACTGACCGATCAAGGTAGCAAATCATTCTCTCCTGACTTGTAAGCAGCATCTTAGGATCCCAATTATCATACCAGTGAAAGATGCTGTGTGATGCAGCACCCAAGCCCCGCACCACCACCTCTCTGGTCACATACTGCATATACAATACTCCAAAGATGTCAGAAAGCTAGGGAAGACATTTGTTGAAATGTACACATGGGTCTAAAAGCACCTGTGACCTCACCCTTAAAGGTTGGAGAAAAGTCAGCACCTACAAATCTAAGGGGAACAACTACTCAGAGCCGCAAGCTGTTCAAAATGATGAAGTGGGAAAATATCATAAGTAGGAAGAAAAAGCATTTAAAGTCAATGTCCAGGTATTATCTAAATTTACCACCATACCTCCCTTCCCCCCCTCTAGAGGCATTCCAGGGATACTCTTTTTTCTTTTACCTTTTCCTGCATTCAAAATCTGCTTTTTTTCCCCCTGCCTGTGACCAGGTTTGTAAATTTATTGCAGGGGGAGCTCGTGGAAGGTCAGTTTCTACAGACATTAGACAGCCCCTCCCCCAGAACTACATCTCCCAAGAGACCTTTCTCTACGTACAGTATGTGGGCAAGCTCTCATGAGTCATCACATAAGCATTGTTTTGCTGGGAAATAAATCAACATATGCACATGGAGTTAGAAAGGGGGTAGAGCAGGGGTGCCCATAAGATCGATCACGATCTACCAGGGCTGACAACTCTGTTTGATTTCTGTACAGCAAAGGCACTGTGTTGTCAGCTTAAACATGACGTCAGAAGCATGCTGGATTTTTGCAACAGGGTTTTCTTTGTACCTTCTGCAACTTTTAAACAGAGGAAATGGGCATGTATTGGAGAAATGTGCAGAATATTTTTCTTTACATTTTGCATACTAAAACCTATGTCTCTGGATCCTTAACCCAGACTGCATATGGAGATTTGATTTCTGCCCAAGATCAGATTTAGTTCTTGAAAGTACCAAGCCCCACCTCCATCATTGAAATAAACTGCTAGAGCCTCTACTGCCAATGGGTTTTGTCTTGATTTGGGTAAAAAAACAAAAAGGATCATTATACTTTATGTATTAACCCCACACTGTCATGTGACATACTTAGTTTTTTTCTTAGTGGAGCTGCAGGGTTTTCATTTGTATATGACCATTTTTTTCTTTTTGTTCTTAAAATATTACATAACTTTACTGTTTCCCTATCTGTGGAACCCGTATCACTTGTGGCATTTGTTCTTAGGGTAGGTGGGACACTGTTGGACTTGTGGGACAGCATACATTTTCAAGTAGTGTATACCAATTGCAGCACAGTAAAACATCTTGCATAGGCTTCTGTGCGTTCCTATTATTATGGACAAGGCAGAATCCTGGTAGGATTCTGGCAGCAGAGGTAGGTGGGACATGTGGTAATTATTAATACAGGAAGACAATGTAAAGCTTGTGATGGTGGTACATAACCAAGCAAAGTTTAGGAAACATTGTTCAACCTAACCTTCCAGCACTGTGATGGCAGTATACTTTCAGGATACGTTGGGGGGAGGGGGGGCTAATGTGGTAGGCAGAAAAGGGCAGTTTTTCACTTTCAAATACACTGATATGATAATGCAAATTTTATCTACCAATGCTGTCATATTCCTTTCAATGTTGCACAAATAGTAACAATGTGAGCATTTTCATGTGTGTTCTTCAGATTCATGTAAGTGATGTCATCTTACAACCTGGCTGTCTATGCCATCTAATTTACTAAATACAGTTAGCAGTGGCATAGTGGTTAGCCCTGCATCACTGGGGGTGCCCAGTTCCAATCCCGGTCAGGATATTATCTTGTTTGTTCTCTCTGTATTTGTGTGGGTTTCCTCCCACACTCCATAGACATGCTGGAAGGTTAATTGGCTCCTGTCTAAATCGGCCCTCTTGTGTATGTGAGATAGGTATGTAAAGTGCTGCATAAATTGATGGCGCTATAAAAATACCTATAATAATAATAAATACAGTTAAATAAATGTACAAAGAAGCATTTGATTTTTTTTTTAGTGCATCAGAACTGCATTAATAGCAGAGGCACTTGAGAGAAAATATGAGCCAATGCCTATGTAAAACATGCAACAGTTATTACTTTGAAGTGGGCTGCTGCTTTTTTTCCTTGAAACTTAATACCTGAAAGGATATGATAATGTTAGTCACTTAACCATCATAAAAGCTCTCATCCTAAGTACCAGTATTTCCATTTTTTAATAATTTTCCCACATTTCTGGAATGTGATCGCGTGTGCTTGAGGACACTTAAAATTAATAGTGTAATTTTCATATGTCTGCAAAGTTGCTTTTCTTTCTTTACCTTTTCTTTACCACTGGCATAAATTTGCTTATAATCACTTTTATTCTGTTCATTTGAATATATTACAGGTACATTTGAGGAATCTATTTGCAACTGGCTCAGCAAAATACAGCATAAAAGGAAATACTCTAGTATAAGTGCTCTGCACATAAAGTTGCATTAAATTCTTTGAATCCTTTTGGAATCACCTAGGTTTCAGT